GGGGGGGGGGGGGGGAGTGGGAGGAGCTCTGCTGTGCTATTTATAGCTCAGTCTCTGCGGGTGGGGGCGTCAGGCACCATACCGCTCCCCCACCCGTGCACACTTAAACCCTCAAAAACCTAGAGGCTCCAGTCCTGACTTCTCTTCCTTAACCTACCTCTCCTTGGCCCCCCAAAACCTCAGTGTTCCTTGGGGGACTCCTCCGCGACCCAGACATGGACGGTTCGGATTTTTCGCTAAGCTTCACCAAATCCCCATTCTCCGCACTTGGTGTGTTTTGCGCTCCTATGCGCCAGACCTGACTTGTCTCACACGGCTCATGGCACACTGTGAACAGGGATGTACAGAGACGATTGGGGATCCACAGCCGGCGTCCATACTACGCAGAGGGAGGCAAGAGATCTGGCTGCCTCCTTGTAGTGTAATTTAAATGGCAGATAGAGAAAATGGTCCAGCCTGGAGTCGTTCTCAGAGTTAGGTCCATCCCCATCCCTCCCAAATAGGAACACATCACAGAGAAACTTGGACCTCAGCTCCCTTATATAGACCGTTTATTATAGGTAAGTATGAGGAAGGTGGATATCCGGATACATTTTTGGATAGGGCAAGGGACATTCCCTGATGCTTCCTCTTCATATTCTTGGGGGATATAATACAAAAGAGGGGGGAGAAGAGGGAGCTTTGTAAGATATCCTCTTTAATTACATCTCTATTTTCAGTCTTGCTTAGACTCATTTTTCCATCTTGCTTGAAGGTCTCTGTCTCAATTGCTCTTTATGTCCCCTCTATCTGTTGCTATCCGTCTCTCTCACTGTCTCTGCCTCTCTTTGTCACCTGCCCTGTCTCCATGGTTACCATAGCTTCCATCTGCATATTTTAGGAATCATTTTTTGTCCAGCTGGACCATACCAAGAGAAGTGGGGGATAAGGAAAAAGTCCTAAGGATTTAGGAAGCTCACCTACGGTCCTGAAGTAATCCAGAAGCTGGACCCCCTCTCTTCCTCCCAGACACAAGACACTGAAAATAATGTTCCTGGGGGAAGGGGAGGGAAATATTTGCAATTAAGTTACCCATTTTTACTAGTTACTTTTCTTGAATGCCAACTAGTGCCAAGTCCTTCTCACAACAACTCTATATGATAGAAGCTATTATCTTCTTGTTACAGATGAGAAAACTGAGACTTAATAAGGTTAAACAAGTTCTTCAAAGCTTCGCAGCTATTCCAAAAACCGGTGGCTTACCAGTACACCTACAGTCTCCCAATCTGCAGGTCATTTCTTTGACATCTGGGCTATTCTTCTTGACTAATCCTTAAATTTTATCCCGATCCTGAGCTCTTTCCTTCTGTTTCCGTTTTCTGGGAACGTGGGACTCCTTCCACACCCCACCCCTGTCCTAAAGGGCTGGGAGGAGCTGGAAAGCAGTGGAAACTGCAGAAAACGCTAGGCTCCTGCCCCGCCTTTCCAGCCCTAGATTTCTGATCCCCAATCCTCCCTTCTCCAAACCTTCTCCCAGACACGGCAACAACCCACAGAAAATCATTTTTAGAAAAGGAGTATCCATTGGTGGTGCTGGAGAGAGAGAGTGTAGGATTGAAGGGAAGGTTGAAATAACGGAGAGGCTGGCTACTCTATGGAGCCAGAGTCACAAAAAGACTGACCCCCCTAAAGAGCAGGTTTTATGGAGTTCACATCTTTGTAAGGGGCTCTCCTCTTTGGGCCTTTCTATGCGGTCTCCCCCAACTGAGTCCCTTTATAAGATCTGAGTGTCTGGTTCCCTCTGTGAACTCTCGCTAGCCAGGGGATCCTTCCCCTGGGGTGAGGTCGGAAAGAGCTGACCCCCGGTGATTAGCAACTCGGTCTCTCTCGGCGCCCAGTTTCCCAAGCCTTGGTTCCGGCAGGATCGCTTCCTCCCTCCTTCTCCTAGGTTTCAAGTGGGCGGGCTTCCCTCCTCCGCTTTTTCTAGATTGGCCGGGAGAACCCACCAATGAGGAGCTCTGGTAGGCGGGCCTAGACCGTCGCCGGCAGGAGGAAGAAGAGCAAATTTCTAGTTGGCCTCGGCTTGAGATCTGCGTGGGGGAGGGGCAGCAGGTAAGGCCCCGAACTGGTGGCTTTGACCCGGTCGGGTTCCACACTTGCCCAGCTGTAGTTCACAGGGCCAGGCTGAGAGGTGGACAGCGCTTTCTGGCAGCCTGTTGGATTAGCCCTCTTCGGGGCCTCATACTCTTTCTTCCCTGGGCTCCCATAGCTATATTGATTGTCTGCTAGAGAAACGTAGTTTTCTGTTGCACATCTGGGAGAGGTATCACTGTAGAAAGCAAGACTCACTCTGCACCCCTGAGTCTTTGCTCTGACTTCACCCTTCCCCAAATCTATTAATATTATCCGCCCGTCCAAGAGCCTGACAAACTCCTGTTATTTATCGAGATTCAAATGAAATATTATCTCATACCTGTGGCCTTTCTTGCAGAATTAATTGTTCCTCAGTCTAACGATAGCACTTTACGCTTAAGTCTGTTAGAGCACTCACCGCACTCTCTCTTTTAATGTTTCTATTCTTAGAATATAAGGTCTTATAGGGCAGGTTCCAGTACTTAACACATAACCCAATAAGCGTTAATTGAATATAATTGATTTCTAGGAACTAGCACTCTTGTTGGGGAGGCAAAATTTAAACTCCTTGTGTAATTATGGAACAATAACAGACAAATAAAAGATAAAACACATTATATAATTAAGGGCTTTTAAATTAGTGGCTCATAATATTAGTATTTCATAATTGCTCCCACAGTCCAGAGGGGGAAGAAAGCAAGAACTGGAATGGCGAGAGAGGCTTTATGAGTCAATTATTAGGTCCAAAGTTTGGAAGGTCCTATATTAATTCAGTCAAAAAATATTTTTTAAAGAATTATTTTATTTAATTTTACTTACTCATTCATTTATTTTAATTTGACCACACACACACACACACACACACACACACACAAGGTGAGAAAGTAAGCCACTAGGTCTGGGACTCAAACGGTGGTGGACCTTGTGGGAGTGTCCAGTGCTTTAACCACCATGTCACCTGCTGATCCCCCAGTCAAGAAATATTAACTAAACACCTACTATATGCCAGATGTAATACCAGACAATGAGGATCATAGCGACTTTTCTACTTTTGCAACTTTACTGTGATAGACCCTATTTAGTTCATAGAGCTCCAGGGACCAGCAGTTGGTGTAATGATTATGTCACTGGACTCCCATGTAGTCGACCGCAGTTCCAGTCCCAGACCTGGTGGCTTAAACTCACGCCAGGCACATGTGTGTGCGTGCCCAAGATCCTAAGAGGAGAATGGAGGAGAAGGGATTGCGGTGTAGCCATCCCCCTAGAGGGTGATTTCTCTCTTTCTGTCTCTGTGTCTTTCTCTGTCTTTCTGGTGAGTGCATGCACCCTATAGCAGAAACCTCTCAAAAAAAAAAAGAAAAAGATAAGAGTTCCTTATCTCTCTTGGCAGGCCACTTCATTTTTGGATATTCTTCAGTCAATCCAGCAAATATTCTTTTTTAAAAATTTTATTATTAGGGACCAGCAGGTGGCATGGTGGTTAAGGCACTGGACATTCCCACATGGCCCACCATGGTTCAAGTCCCAGACCTGGTGGCTTGCTTTCTCACTTTCTTTCTCTCTTTCTCTTTATGTTGCTCTCTGGTCAAATTAAAATAAATGAATGAATAAATAAAATTGATCAAAAATTTTTATTTATTATTATTTTAATTTGACTAGAGAGAGACAGAGAGAGAAGGAAAGTGGGAAAGCAAGGCCTGGACACAGTCAGCCATGTGGGAGTCCAGTGCCCTAATCACCACACCACCTGCCGGCCCCAATCTAGGAAATATTCCAAGTTGAAATATATATAACTCAAGGATATGCATTCCACACTTCCATGGTAAAAGAAGGAAATCTGGGTCCAGGAGGTAGCATAGTGATTAAGGAACTGGACTCCCACTTGACTGACCAATGTTCGAGTCCCATAACTCATGCTGTACACATGTGCATGTGTACCCAAAATCCCAAGAGGAGAATGGAGGAGATGGCACTGTGGCATGGCTGTCCCCCTGGGGAGTGATTTCTCATTTTCTCTCTCTCTGTCTCTGGCAAGCACGCTTACCCTATAGCAAAAAATCTGGGGGCTAGCAGGTAGCATAGCGGTTAAGGTGTTGGACTTGCAAATAGTCAAACTTGGTTTGAATCCTGGACCCAGTGGCTTGAAACTCATACTGGATACATGTGCATTTGTGCCTAAAATTCCAGGAGGAGAATGGAGGAGAAAGGATTGTGGTGTGGTCATATCCCCTGGGGAGTGGTTTCTCACTTTCTGTCTCTGTCTTTTTCTCTGTATCTCCAGCAAGTACATGTGCCCTATAGCAAAAATTTCTCTTAAAAAAAAACTCTTATAAAAAAAAAAAAGAAGAAGGAAATCTGTCCTAATGGTAGTACTCTTAAAAGCAAACCATTGCGGGACCAGCAGTTAGCGTAATGGCTATGTCGCTGGACTCTCATGTAGTCCACCATCGTTCGAGTCCCCGGACCCGGTGGCTTAAAACTCACGCTGGGCGTGTGTGCATGCGTGCCCAAGATCTTGAGAGGAGAATGGAGGAGAAGGGATTGTGGCGTGGCCATCCCCCCTGGGGGGTGATTTCTCGCTTTCTGTCTCTATGTCTCTCTCTGTCTGTCTGGCGAGCACACGCGCCCTATAGCGAAAACCTCTAAAAAAAAAAAAAAAAAAGCAAATCATTCCTTTTGTTTTCCTATCCTTGAAGTTGGACTAGCAGTTAAGAAAGCTGGATCCTATGTGGTTGACTTCAAATCCCAGATCTAACAGCTTGAAAAACACACAGGGTGCATGTGTGTGCAGTGCCCCAAATCCCAAAAGGATGGAGAAATGGAGGAGAAATTGCAGGGTGAACACTTACCACTGGGGGTGCTATCTCCTTCTTTCCCTCTCCCTGTCTCTCTGGTAAGGGCACATGCCTTCTGGCAATTTTTAAAATAAAAATGGAAAAAAATAAAGAAATAATATAATATACATTTATTCTGGAAAATTTGGAAACAGTGTAATAAAGAAAAATGCCTATTTTATAATGATATGTATGTAGTGAAAACTATTATTTATATTCTGATACATCCTTTCAGTTTCCTTTTTTGTTCATATGCATATGTGTGCATGTTTGTCTTATACTTAAACAGGGCCATAAAATTAAGTACAATTTTATATTATATCCTTCTCACTGAACATTATATTGTGAACATTCTTCTGCCTTTAAATACTATTTGAAGTCATGATTTTTATGGGTACATAATCATCTAAAAAGGATATTTGATTTTTTTCTTTTAGTTTGCCAGAGGGTACATGTGCTCTCCAGAGAGACAGAAAGAGAGAGAGAAAGAGGAAGAAGAAGAAAGCACCCCCCCCAGTGGGATTTGGTGACACCACGATCCTTTTTCCTTCATGTTTTCATTCTTTTGGTATTTATGACACATAATACATATTTGCCTGGCTTCTTTTTCAAGCCACTGGAGCCAGGATTCATATCTTGAGCCACAGACCGTGGGACTGGCTTGATTTTTTTTAACCATTTATTATTGAACCATTTAGATTATTTTAGAACTTTTACTACTATGAACAATTCTTTGACGAACATTTTTGTACTTACATATATATCTATTTTTTTTTTTTAGGTTTTTGCTATAGGTTGTGTGCACTCGCCAGAAAGACAGAGCGAGACAGACAGAAAGCCAGAAATCACCCCCCGAGGGAAAGGCCACTCTGCAATTCCTTCTCCTCCATTCTCCTCTCAGGATGTAGGGCACGCACATACGCCCAGAATAAGTTTAATCCACCAGGTCCAGGACCCGAACCACAGTGACTACATGGGATTCCAGCGACATAGCCATTACGCCATCTGCCAGTCCCTGTACTTATATATATTTTTAAAAATATATTTATTATTATTCTTCAATTTGAAGAGAGAGACAGAAAGAGAGAGTAAGCAAACTGCCAGGTCCAGGACTCAAACCGTGGTCAGCCATGTGGGAGTCCAGCACCTTAACCACCATGCCACCTGCCAGCCCCTGTACTTATATTTTTGAAAGTATATCCAATTTTTCTTTTAGGGCAAAAAAAATTTTTTTAAAGTAAAATTGGGGCTGGCAAGTGGTGTGGTAGTTAAGGGTGCTGGACCCCCACATGGCCAACCACGGTTCAAGTCTGGACTTGGTGGTTTGCTTTCCCACTTTCTCTCTCTTTCTTTCATTCTATCTCTCTCTGGTCAAATTGAAAAATAATGATAATAAATAAATAAATAATAATAAATGTGAGATTACTCTGGACCAGCAGATGGCATAGTGGTTGCGTCGCTGGACTCCCATATGGTCAATCGTGATTTGAGTCCTAGACCCAGCAGCAGCTTGAAACTCAAGCCAGGCACATGTATGTGTATGCCCAAATTCCTGAGATGAGAATGGAGGAGAAGGGATTGTAGTTTGGCCACTCCCCTGGGTGATTTCTTGCTTTCTGTCTCTGACAAACACATGTACCCTATATCAAAAATCTCTCAAAGAAAAAAGTGAAATTGCTTGATTAAAGATAAAAACATTTAAGAGGCTATTGATTCAAGTGGTCAGATTGCTTTCTTGAATTTGCGACCAATAGTTGGCATAGTGGTTAAGGTGGTGAACTCGCACATGGTCATCTGCATTTTGCGTCCTGGACCCAGCAGCTTGACACTTATGCTGGGCACATGTATGCATGCCCAAAATCCTGAGAAGGGAATAGAGGAGAAGGGATTGTAGTGTGGCCATCTCCCCCTGGGGTGGTGGGGCTGATTTCTTGCTTTCTGTCTCTCTGTCTCTCCCAGGATCACAGGAGTCCTATAGCAAAAATCTCTCAAAAAAAAAAGAATGTGTCTATAGTCAGTCCTTCCAATGAAATATGAGAGTGTCCATCTGAAACAACTTATTACAGCCTGATGATTATTTAAATCTTTGTCAATTTCATATTTTTTTGTTTTGTTTTGAGAATTTTTTTTGCTCTAGGACATAAGCTCTCACACTCTCTCTGGAGAGACAGAGACAGACAGAGAGACAGAAAGCAAGAAATCACCTCCCCTCAAGGGGATGGTCATGCCACAATCCCTTCTCCTTTGTTCTCCTGGAATCTCGGACATCCATGCACACACACCCTACACATGCCTGGCATGAGTTTGAAGCCACCGTGTCCAGGACTCAAACTGCAATCAGCCTCATGGGAGTCCAACGACACAACCGCTATGCTATCTGTTGATCCCATTCAGTTTCATGTTTTATGGGTTATTCTTTTGTCAATTGCCTGTTCTTGTCCTTTGCTTATTTTATTCTTTTGAGATGACTTTTCATTTGATTTCCAAGAGTTTTTTAAAATTTTTTTTAGATGGGACGCGTGTGCTTGCAAGAGAAACAGAATGTGAGAAATCACCTAAAGAGTGTGGCCACACTCCAATCCCTTCTCCATTTTCTTCTCAGGGTTTTGGGCACGCATGCACATGTGCCCAGCATGTGTTTTAAGCCACTGGGTCCGGGATTTGAACCGTGGTCAACTATGTGAGAGTCCAGTGATGTAACCATTACACCATGTGCTGGTCCCTGAATTTCCCCGGAATTTGTCTGATGTTTTTCTTTTTTATTTTTTCTGGAGAGGTTTTTGCTATAGGACGCGTGCGCTCACCAGAAAGACAGAGACAGAGAGACAGAAAGTGAGAAATCACCCCCCAGGGGGGATGGCCACGCCACACTCCCTTCTCCTCCATTCTCCTCTTGGGATCTTGGGCATGCACCCACACACGCCCAGCGTGAGTTTTAAGCCACCGGGTTCAGGATGTGAACCGTGGTCAACTACATGGGAGTCCAGCGACATAGCCATTACGCTGACTGCTGGTCCCTGATGTTTTTCTTATGATTAGGCTAGGGTTATGAGCTTGGGGGAAGATAATCATGCCCAGGCATGATTTTTAAGCCATCCAAACACTCTAACTTCCACACCCTACTGCTGACTCTCAAATTAAATTTCATTTGTTAATTTTATCTCCCATCCTAGCTGCCTCTAACTGGATATTTTAAATTAATGACTATAGGCAGAATGCAGTTCAGTAAAGGAGAACTTCTGATTTCATCAGAGTTGATCACAGTGAAATGGGCCGTCTTAGAGAATAGGTATCCTCTTTTTAGGAAAATGACATAAGAAGCTGAATAACAAATAATTTACAAAGTGGAATCCTGTACTGGGAGGGAATTTAGACTGGATAACTTCTTTATTATTTTTTTTTAATTAAAGGATAGTTTTTTTAAATTTAATTTCATTTGTTACTAGTTTTCAGTTTGACCAGACAGAGACACACACAGAGAGAAAAGGAAAACGAGAAAGCAAGTCACTAGGTCCAGGACTCAAACCATGGTCGGCCATGTGGGAATTCAGCGCCTTTAACCACCACACAATCTGCCAGCCCCTATTTTTAATTTGGTATAGGACACATGCACTCACCAGGTAGAGCACGCATGCACTCAATGAAAAGACAGAGACAGAAATTGAGAAATCACCCCCGGGGGGGTTGGCCACATCATAATCCCTTCTCCATTCTCTTGGGATCTTGGGCATGCATGCACACATGCCTGGCATGAGTTTCTAGCCACTGGGTCTGGGACTCAAACTGTAGTCAACTACATGGCAGTTCAGCAATGTAACCACTGGGCCATCTTCTGGTTCCTAGAGAGATCATTAGGCCATCTTCAAGTTCCTAGAAAGAGAACTTCCAAGGGCCCTTCCAATTTTAAGATTCTGTGCTTCCAAGTGGTATTTTAGAAGATCAGTTTGATTTTAGGACCACCAGATGGATTGTGGAAGATGACCCTGTTGTAGGTGCCTGTCTCTCTATCTCTTAATTTTTGTCTCTCTATTTTGGTCTTTCTCTCATGGAAGAAATAAATGAACTTAAAAAAAAATTGTCAGAGGGCACATGCACTCACCAGGGAGAAAGAGAGGAAGGGGAAACTAGGAGAGGGTGTAATGATTATGTTGCTGGACTCCCACGTAGTTGATCGTAGTTTGAGTCTCAGACCCAGCAGCTTAAAACTCACATAGAGAACATGTGTGTGCTGGCCCAAAAGCCCAAGAGGAGAATGGAGAAGGGATTGCAGCGTGGCCTTCCTCTTTGGGGGTGATTTCTCGCTGTCTCTCTGTCTCTCTCTGTCTCTCTGGCAAGCACACACACCCTCTAAGGCAAAAATCTTTCAAAGAAAGAGAGAGAAAGAAAGGGAAAGTAAGAAAATTCTCTCTGTGAGGGATGACCACACCACAATCCCTTCTCTTGTGTTTTTCCTTCCTGTCAGGATATTGAGCATGCATGCACACATACCCAATGTGTTTCTCAAGACACCAAGTCCATGACTTCGACGGTGAGCTGGACCCGTGGGACCCAATGGCCTTAACCAACATGCCACCAAACAGCTAGCCCATTCTTTTTTTCTTTCTTTTTTTTTTTTAGTTTTTTTGCTGTAAGTCATGTGTGCTCGCCAGGGAGACAGAAGAGAGACAAAAGTGAAAAAATCACCCTCCAGTGGAATGGCCGTTGCAATCCTTTTTCCTCCATTCTCCTCTCAGAATTTTGGGCATGTACGCACATGTGCCCAGTGTAAGTTTTAAGTCACTGGGTCGGGGACTTCAACCAACTAGCAGCATAATCATTACACCATCTGTTCATTTCCTCATTACCCTCATAAACTTTTCTGTAAGAATTAGAAAAAAGAAAATTGAAAAAAAAAAAAATTGAAGCTAGCAGGTGACTTGGCCATAACAGAGCTGGATCCCACATGGCCAACTGCATGACTGACTGCCCTGGACCCAGTGGCTTACAGAACATGCCGGGTATGTGTGCGTGTCCATCCAAAACCCTGAGAGGAGAATGCAGGAGAAGGGATTTTTAAAAAAGACAAATTGTTGAATGGCATTGGCATTCACATCCTGTGGAGAGAAAAATACCTCATGTGTCATTGACCTCTCGTCCATTCTACCATAATTCCTTTTCCTTTTTGTTTTTGTTTATTAGGTTTTTCTCATTGGATCTCTGAATACCCAGGCCCCCTCCACCATGGCCAGCCGGGGTGGGGGCCGGGGTCGTGGCCGGGGTCAGCTGACCTTCAACGTGGAGGCTGTGGGCATCGGGAAGGGAGATGCTTTGCCTCCACCCACTCTGCAGCCTTCTCCACTCTTCCCTGTGAGTATCTCCTGGCCCTTGTCCAGACTCCCCTGTGCCTTTGGCTGACTGTATATAATCCTGATTGTTCCTGGGCCTTCATAAGCCATCCTTATCTTGCCCCTCCTTGTCTTTGTGCTCCTACTTCACAAGAGATGTTTTCCAAGCAAAGAATAAGAAACCCTTATTTCTCCCATTCCCAGCCCCTTGGCTTTCAGAGTGCTGTGTTGCTTCCCTCACTCTCATTTGGCCCTCTGCTCACTGGGAGCATGGGATTAAGTTGGGGTGAGAGGCCCGGCTAGATTTGTATTCTAGCATTTCTCCCTCAACTGACCACTGCTCCTGCCTCCATAGCCCCTGGAATTTCGTCCCGTGCCTCTGCCCTCAGGAGAGGAAGGGGAATATGTCCTGGCACTGAAGCAGGAGCTACGAGGGGCCATGAGACAGCTCCCCTACTTCATCCGACCAGCTGTCCCCAAGAGAGGTCAGTTGGAATGTAACATCATGTTCTGAGTGTCTCCCATGGTGGTACCCTCTATTTAGCACCACTGGGGGCCAGAGAGGCACAGGAAGTACACTGACTGGGGAAATAGTAATTACTCCTGCATCTGAAATGTATTACAGTAGTCATGGTTTGAGTCTCACAATAGTTTCGGGACAATGGGAGGTTAAGTTTTAAGAACCACTTTCTAGGGAACCAGCAGATGGCATAATGGTTAGGTCATTGGACTCCCCTGTAGTTGACTGTGGTTCGAGTCCTGGACCTGGCAGCTTAAAACTCACACTGGGTGCAGATGTGTATTTGTCCAAAATCCTGAGAGGAGAATGGAAGAGAAGGGATTGCGGTGTGGCCATCCCCCTGGGGGTGATTTCTCGTTTTCTGTTTCTCTGTCTCTCCAGTGAGTGTACATGCCCTATAGCAAAAATCTCTTTAATAATAAAAAATTAATTAATTAATTAATTATTTTTAAAAAACCCTCCTTTCTACTGTTTTTTTCCCTGATTGTTAGAGGGCATGTGCACTCACCAGAAAGAGAAAAAGAGAAAGAGTGCCCTCAATGAGGTATGGTCATGCTATATTCCTTCTCCATTTCTCCCTCCTGTAAGGATTTTGAGCGTGTGTACACACATTTTTAGCACGTTTCAAACCACTTGCAAGCTATATGGGATCCAGCTCCGTTAACCACTAGGCTATACGATGGCCTAAGATCCCCTTTCATATATACAAATAGATGTATTAAAAAGTTTAACAGAGGGAACCAGCAGTTAGCATAATGCCTAGGTCGCTGGACTCCCACGTAGTCGACCGCGGTTCGCGTCCCGGACCCGGTGGCTTAAAACTCATGCCGGGCGCGTGTGTGTGCATGCCCAAGATCCCAAGAGGAGAATGGAGGAGAAGGGATTGCAGCGTGACCATCCCCCCTGGGGGGGTGATTTCTCGCTTTCTGTCTCTATGTCTCTCTCTGTCTGTCTGGTGAGCGCACGCGCCCTACAGTGAAAAAAAAACTCTCAAAAAAAAAAAAAAGTTTAACAGAGACTAGTAGTTGGTGTAATGGCTATATCACTGGACTCTCATGTAGTCAACTGTGGTTTGAGTCCCGGATCTGGTGGCTTAAACTCACGCCGGGCACATGTGTATGCATGCCCAAGATCCCAAGAGGAGAATGGAGGAGAGGGGATTGCAACATGGGTGATTTCTTGCTTTCTGTTTCTCTATTTCTCTCTTTCTGGCGTGCACACGTACCCTACAGCAAAAACCTCTCAAAGAAAAAAAAAAAGGTTAACAATCTGGATATTACAAATACCAACCAATCAATCAGGGAGCTACCTGGTCCTGCGTCTCCGAGAACCCTACCTAAGTAAAGTATTAACTCATTGGCTAGTGTGTCATGGGGAAGTCAGGGAGATTAAGAGGAACTGGCGAAGGCACTGCGACTGGGGATACTCGGGACAATGGCTGATTACCCACCACCAGTGCAGATGTACAGTATTTCAGTGTGTTGGCAACTGGTGCTTTCCTGGTAAAGCCCTGGATGCTGAGGCTCGAAGCAATGAAAGACTTACCTAAATGAACTCTGTTAACAGAAAGTAAAGAGAAGACTGAAACCCTGATTTCTTATTCTCCAACATATTTTCGGCTGCACTACATGACTTCTCAGTATAGCCAGGCTTTTGAGCTAAGGGAGAAAGATTCATAATTTTGGGTGACAGTGGAGAAGGTTAGATAGAAGAGTGATAAGATCCGCACTGAAACTGACTTCTATACTCTGGATTAGGAGTGAGGAGACAGATAATTCTTGCGTATTGAGAGGACTAAGCCCTCAGGAACACCCTATTCTAGGGACCTGAAGGGATTTAACTTTGACTTTGACTTCTGACCCTTCAGATGTGGAGCGTTACTCAGACAAATACCAGATGTCCGGGCCGATTGATAACGCCATTGATTGGAACCCTGGTAGGTGATGGGCCCTTCCATTGACTGCTCTTCTTACCAGTGCTTGAGATGTTTCAAAACATTATGACCCCATCCAATATCTGCAAAGTAGACCCTTATGTGTGCTCCAAAATACTCTCAAACTCCACCTGACAAGCCTATGAAATACCCCACACACCCTCCTCAGGAGATCTCGAAGCCACTGTTTTTTGTTCCAAACAGCTTTGACCTAAATCCTCCCTTCCTTCTTTTTCCTCTAAAACCATTTTCTCTCCTTCAAAGGCAGTCATTCCTTGGAGACCCCAGGCAAGAGCCTGTTGACATTTACTTTCCCATTATTCCCAGATTGGCGGCGTCTACCCCGGGAGCTGAAGATCCGAGTGCGGAAGTTACAGAAGGAGAGTGAGTGTATCTGGAAAAATGAGGGAGAAAGAGGTTTTCTCCATAAGCTGGTAGGCCAAAGCTACTGGTGGTCTTGCTTGCCCTCCTAATTCCTGCCTGACCCATGAGTGTTGATGCTGAATGCCATAGTGGCCGCACGAGGGCAGCAGAGTGACATGTTTCCATAGTAGGGTGGGGTAGAAAGCAAGATTGTTCTCTGAAAGTTCACCTTTTCATCCTCACCCCCAGGGACCACCATTCTGCTCCCCAAGAGGCCCCCTAAAACTACAGAAGATAAGGAGGAAACAATACAGAAACTAGAGGTGAGGAGGAAGTATGCATAGAGATCTCCTGGGCCCTAGACTCATGCTGTCTTCATTGGCCCATGGGCGTCTGCTTTTTCTTCTGTAAGCTGGGTCTGAGTTTCTCTTCTTATTTGTGTTTACATGAGACCCTGGAGAAGAAAGAGGAAGAAGTGACTTCTGAGGAAGATGAGGAGAAAGAAGAAGAAGAAGAGAAGGAAGAGGAAGAAGAAGAAGAGTATGATGAAGAAGAACATGAAGAGGTGATGGAGACTATCTTCTACCTTGTCTCCCTCTCTTCCCCTCCAAAGCTCTGGGATCTCAACTATTTCTTCAAAAGGCTGGAAGGACAGAAGAGATAGTGCCTACAAAGGGAGAAGTTCTCCACTTCACCTGTCCCCTGGCTAGTCTCCAAAGTGAACCATAGCTGTGAGGGATGTCCCAGTCCTGGAACGTGTGATTGGGAGGGAAGGGGTCCAGAACACGGGGAGGAAGGAAAATGCTGAAAGCATACCTCACTTTTACTTCTTTTTCTCCATTTTAGGAAACCGATTATATTATGTCATATTTTGACAATGGAGAAGACTTTGGGGGTGATAGTGATGACAATATGGATGAGGCTATCTACTGAAGAAGGACCCTAAACAACACCCTGGACTCAATACCTTTCTTGATTTGGGATTCAGAGAGTAACTACCTTTACTATTTGGTTTTGTGGACAAGCAGATCATTTGGTCAAAGTACAAATAACCTGTTTGGTTTCTGGGGACAGGAATGGAGAATGATGACCATAACATTTTTTTTCACCTTTGTATCCGCTCTGATATCTTGGAGAAAGGACAAAGGACCAGTGTTTAAATTGTATGAAGGGATAAAGGACACTCTAAAGAATGGTGGCCGGCAGCTATACACTTACCACTACCATATTTGTACTGGTCTTTGTGAGGATAATTGAAGTGGAAGCAGTTAGGAAGAATGAGAACAATTTTATACTTTTAAATAAAATGTTTTTATCTATCAGTCTGTCCAGGGTGAGGCCTGGTGGGAGAGGGCTTGAGGAACGAAGGGGATGCCTTACGGAGCCATTCTTCTTTTCTCACCTGTCCAGTGTGACTTTCTGGGGAGTACAAGCTTCTTGTCCTTTGTCTCTTCCCTCCCACCCCTGTTGGGGGGATAGACACACACTCATAATCTAACCCTGCCAAAGAATATTCAAAAATTCATTTGCAGGGCTGTGCAGAGTGAGTAGTAGAGAAGAATGGCCACCTGCCAGCCCCCACTCCTACCTCCTACAGACCAGGTGGTTTTTGAGCATCTGGTCTCAGGCCATGGGGACATGATTGTCTCTGTTCATACTTGTTCACAAGGACACAGGCCCTCTTTTTCCCACACTTGACCTTGATCATGTCCTTATTTACAAAGAATGACTGTAGCTATTTTTGTGGACAGAGTCAAGAAAGCCAGGTACAAGAAAGGAGTAGAGAGGAGAGACTGACTTGATATATTGAGCCTCTTCCCTGCTCTTTCAGGCCTGGGAGACCCCACTTTGAAAGGTCTGTCTGTGCCGAGGGAGCCCCTTAAATATGCTGTTCTCCACTTGCAGAAGCCAGTGTATGGCTGAGCTGCACTTTCCCCTTTGGTTCTTCCCTTTGTGGAATTTAATTAGCCTTTCTTACTCCCTTCTTTGGGGGAGAGGGGCCCCAATGTTGCTTTACAGGAAGTAAAGAGGGTGGGGAAGACGGCAGTGACTTAGGGACACTCCCAGCTCTGGGAGATGTTTTCTCACCCACACAGCTCTCCCTTGTATGAGGTCACTTCCCAAAGCTCTGATTGGCTTCTGAGGAAGGCTTAGGTGAGCTGATTGGTTCCAGCCACTTGCCATGCACTGATCACGGGCAAGCCACATGTCCAGAGTCAGGCCTGAATAAGGAAGCAGGCACAGACAGTGATGCTATCACAGCAGACCCAGCTGAGCATTTGAGAACTGTAAGACAGGGTATAGGAGAACCTTCAAGAAATTTCCCAGTTATATTCAGACAGGCAGACTGAATTCCCCACAGCATTAAGTGACAGAGACAGCAAGCTAAGGTTAGTTATTTCTGACCCCGTTGTAAAAAGTAGCGAGGAGCTGTGACTCCATTGAGGGAACCTAGCTTAAAGCCTGGTTTGGGTGTGGCAGTAAGTGTTAAGATAGAAATAGCCAAGGAAGCAGAGAAGGAAGCAGAAATAGAAACAACATTCCAGAGTTATTGAGCAATTTATATGATTGATGTGTTTCCTTTTCTAGCTTTCTGAGGTGTTGTGTGAGTGGTTTTTGGGGTGAGGGGCACCTGTCACCGGGGTTTCCCATAGTTATATTTCAGCTTATAATTGTAGCAAGGGAGAGATCAGCAAAAAAACAAAAGTGAAAGACACTGACATTTTTTCTTTTGCCTTTCTCCTCTATACACATATACCAGTGCTAATCTGGTCAACTGTATAGGTGCACAGCCACGCCCTAAATTCCACCTAATGCTGGTCTGGGAACCTAAAAGGATCAGAACAAAGATCCTGAACAACAGACAGTAGAGGAAGGCTGGAACCACATCTCTACTCCCACTTCTGTACACACACATTCTTTTCCCATGGAACTGGGGAAAGGAGGACAAAGGTTAGAATGACCACTTGGGATCAGTTGTACTATGTCAAAGACAAAGTGTCAGAAAGATCAGACAATTCATGGACTCTGCCCTGTCTGGCCTCCTGCCTCTCTTGGCAGGTGACCTTGCTGGACAAAGCCAGAGACACGGGACTCAGCAGCTTCCCCAGATTCCAGAGCAATTCCAGGCATGAGCCAGACTGTTTCCATTGACCTTTCCCCCACTTTCTGTAGGTACTATCAGGCAGGCTGAGGCTGGAGCCTAAGGCCCAGTGAACAATGTCAGAGCTCCTATTCTTTCTGGAGGACCACTAGACAGTTTAGGGGTCAAGGCCCTGCCTACACAGAGAGGGCCCATGCAGTGTTTGCTCTGCCCTGTACTACATCCCTGCTCGGGCCTGTTGATGTTGAACAGATTGTTCTGCGCCCACAGCCTAGGCTGCACTGGCCCTAGACAGGGCAGGTACTCTGGTAAAAATCCTACCCTTCCCAGGACCAGCAGATGGCATAATGATTGCATCGTTGGACTCCCACATAGTAGACCACAGTTCAAGTCCCGGACCAGGCGGCTTAAAATAATGCCAGATATGTATATGCACACCCAAGATCTCAGAATGGAGGAGAAGGGATTGTGGTGTGGCCATCCCCGACTGGGGCGGGGGCTGATTTCTTGCTTTCTGTCTCTCTGGCCAGTGCATATACCCTATAGCAAAAAGCTCTCTCAAAAAAAAAAAAAGCCCTTTTTTTTTTTGCTTTGTTGCCCCACTGAAGCAGGATGGGTCATCAGCAGCTCTACTGGAGCCACCCACAAAAATTCAGACAGGGTTCTCGCTCTTGCTGCACGTGCTCAAACCAGCACGGTCTGATCCGAAAATACAGCCTTACCATGTGCCATCAGTGTTTCCATCAGTATGCGAAGGACATAGGCTTCATCAGGTTGGACTAAATGATCTTCCTTGGATAGATTGTCCAAGATATCCACCCAGTGAAAGAAATCATGCTGGCTATTTGTATATAAAATAAAATAAAATTTTAAAAATCCTTCAATTTTATGTGTTTAATGTGACTAGATTACTTGGTTATAGATCTCTCCTTTTAGGATTTATTTTTATTGTCTTCTCCATGGATTTGTTTTTTAAATATGTGGCACACCTTGCCTCAATTATATAAAGATATTCATACAGGACTCTGATTTATAAAAAAAAAGAGTTCTGTCCTTCCCTACCCTGTGTTCCATCTGGGGCCTCCTGGCCCCTCCTTACCTTGGGCAGGCAGCTTGAGAGTGGGATCAACAAACAGGCCCAGGGACTCAAGTTGCTTGAAGGAAGGCTGAACAGGAGACCTGGATACAACATATAGTTTGAGAGTAGAGATCAGAGAAAATTAGATCAAGGACCAGCAAGTGATGAAGTGGTTAAGGCACTGGACTCCCATGTGGTAGGCTGCAGTTCAAGTCCCAGACTCAGCAGCTTAAAATTCAGTTTGTGTTGGGGCTGGCAGGTGGCATGGTGGTTAAAGGTGCTGGATTCCCACATGGCCTACTGTAGTTTGAGTCCTGGACCTGGCGGCTTGCTTTCTCACTTTCTTTCTCTCCCTATCTCTCTCTCTGTCCCTCTCTGGTCAAATTTAAATAAACAAATGAATAAATAATAAATAAAGTTAAATAAAATAATTTTTAAAAAATTCAGTAGGTGTGTGTGCGTGCATGCCCAAGGTCCTGAGAAGAATGGAGAAGAGAGATGGGAACCAGCAGTTAGCGTAATGGCTATGTCGCTGGACTCCCACGTAGTTGACTGCGGTTCGCGTCCCAGACCTGGTGGCTTAAAACTCACGCCGGGCACGTGTGCGTGCATGCCCAAGATGCCAAGAGGAGAATGGAGGAGAAGGGATTGTGGCGTGGCCATCCCCCCTGGGGGGTGATTTCTTGCTTTCTGT